AGAAGGGGCCAGGAGAGAGGCGCCCGTCAGGAGTTTCATCTCCTGCATCGGATTTTTAAAAATCAGAGGAAAGCAGAAAAAACATTCGGGGGCACTCACCTCTCTCTTCTTATGTCTTCAGCTATGTTCCTCGCCTGCCCTCTTCCTCGCTCTTCCTCGTTTTGTTTATTTCATTTTTTTTTTTGCTTTTAACTCATCACTCAGTTAACAAGTCAGCTTTCTGAAGCCGGGGTCAGTACCTAGCGCCTCTACCAGCGCGATAAAGAACTCAGCCGTCACCGATCCAGAAGTCAGAAAGGTTTAAATCAAATCATCCTCCACAACAATGACATTAATTATGCTTTTAACACGTCGCACTGCTTTTTTTTCTCACTTCACGCCACATCTGTGTGAACAATATCCCAAAGATTTACGGTTTTCTTTCGTAATTACAGACATCCAGGCTGCTCACTTATCAAAATACTTGCTGAGCACTCAGGCGATGTCGCCTTCTCTGCCAAAGACTTGTGTTGGCAGCAGTCATTCAAAACGAAAATGTTGAATCAGGACTTGTGTGGCTTCGGGGGGGGAAGTATTTCGACAAATAATTTGCCTGTCAAGAAATATAAAAACAGGAGAGCGCGCATCCTGGTGCATCTTCCGGGAGTGCTGTTTTTGTGGGGGGCTGGGGTGGCGTGAGGGGACGGCGAGCAGGGAAGCTCCAAGCACCAAGAACACATCTGACATTTGGTTCTTGTGTCTGAGGATAAAATTTAATGAGAACAAAAATATGTCTTCCCAATTCCCCTAAGAAATCATTAAAACATTTTGTTATTCTTAAATGTCTCGGAAATGAATTAGAGCCCCTAAAGGGGCCGTTCGTACGGCCGTCTCCATCAGCTAAGGCTCCTCTTCTCCAACTCGGTGACACCTGGGGACGTCCGTCTCCCCTGCCCTTCCATTTCTGGGGAGACATGTGGAGTCAGCACCAGGCTTGGAACGACCCTTTGGGGAGAGGGGCGAGAGGGCATGAGGACCTTCTGGAAGGGTCTGCACCAGCCTGGGGGGGCTCTCACAGTCCCTGGCTGGCACTGCGGTCCTGGCCCTGTGATTGTGTTAACAGCCCTATCTCCAGAAAGATGAGGGTCTCAAGTGAACCCCAGAAATGATGCCTCTTTCCAAGGGAGGCAGTAAGCCCCTCCTCACCCCTAAGCACTAGACTCGCCGGTGCTCCCCCGGGTTTGAGACGACAGGTTATTCGAGCCATGATCTGGTCCCCTCTGCCACCACAATGCAAGCTCCCTGAGGACTGGGCCCGCGTCTGCATCTGCAGGCTCACGGCTAGGTTCAGTGTCTCGCGAGTGCCAGGCACACAGCAAGCACTTAATAAATGCTATCTGAGTGAATAAACACGTGACAAGTATAGAGCTCTAGATGAAACAGTACCTTTTCATTCAACCTTTAACCCTTCCTCCTCTTTCTGCATCTGAGTCTTATTTCTAATTCATTCAACAAACAATTATGAGGTGCCTACTGCGTACCAGGTTCTGGGTACAGAAATTCAGTATGACTCAGTCCCAGGCTCGGAGCATCTCACTTCCCCTAGGGAAGCCAGACACACGTGATGACGAGAGTAGCTCAGGCTCCAATGTGTAGAAGAGGAGACTGAGGCTCAGGGAGGTGAATCAACTCGTCTGCAGTTACCTAGTGAGTAAAGCAGTGCACTAGGATTCAAACCCGGGTCTGGCCCTGAGCCTGGGAACACAAGCCGGTCTCAGTGCTGCCCCCTGGTGCTACAGGCGAGGTACTGCGGGGTCCAGTGAAGAGCCTGGCGTGGGGACTCTGAGGCATCTCTGGAGTCTGTTCTGGGTCATTCTCCAGTGTCATTTGTCACTGAGACTGTGGGACCGGAAGGACTGAAGAAAGGTGGGAAATAAGAGGGTTTATTTTTCCAAATTTTTCCCAGATATCTCTGCTGAGAGTGGAGACATTACAAGCAAAAAGGCTGCAGGGAATGGGGCCTCTCGGCCACGTGCCTGGTGTGGTCCCCAGTGAGGGTGACAACGACCCGGGCTGCAGACACGGCCGTTTCGGCCTCACGCCATAGGGCTGTGTCCTCGAGGGGGCACAGAGCCCTGGGGGCCCCAGCCATTCTCGCCGCCAGAGCATCCTCCCTGAGGAAACGCTGCAGCCGTGCTGCCCCTGCGAGTGGAGTCCCGGAGCTCCGGCCCAGGGCAGCGCGGTCGAGTCGCAGAAACCTCTGCAGTGGGCTGAGTGGTGGCCCCCAAAACAGACTCCCACGCCCCAACGCCTGGACCCTGTGAATGCAACCTCATTTGCAAAAAGGGTCTTTGCAGACGTGAATAGTTAAGGATTGGAGATGAGATCATCCTGGACGACCTGGGTGGGCCCTCAATCCAGTGACTGACGTCCTCAGGAGAGAAGGAGCTGGAGATTTGGGACACGGACAAAGAGAGAAGGCCATGTGAAGACAGAGGCAGAGACCGGAGTGATGCGGCCACAGCCAAGGGACCCTGGAGCCTCCAGAAGCTGGAAGAGGCAGGAAGGATCCTCCCCTGGAGTCTTCAGAGGGACCACGGCCCTGCGACGCCTGGATTTTGGACCTCTGGCCTCCAGAACCGGGAGAGAATAAATATCTGTTGTTTTAAGCTGCCCAGTTTGTGGTGACTTGTTACAGTGGCCCCAGGAAACCAACACAGCCTCCCACGTGTAGCCAGCGGTGACACGGAGCAGATACTTTGGAAATGTGTGTTCAATGAGCTGAGACCTGAGCCCCATCTGTCCACATCCGACCCTGGCTGTGGGACCTCAGGCAGCAGACTCAACCTCTCTGTGCCGTGGCGAAGGGACTGGTTGGCCTGTTCCCTCGGGGCTTGTAACACGAAGAGGGTAGAACAAATCCGGCTTGTACAGGGGGCCAGTGCTTCTCAAACTCTGCTGTGCTCACAGAGCCCCCGGGGAGCTTGCTAACGTGCAGAAGCTGACTCGGGGCCTGCGATGGGGCCTGGGGTTCTGCATTTCTACCACGCTCCCAGGCGAAGCCCATGCGCTGGTCCACGGACCACACTGTGAGTAAACAGGCTAGACACCTTCCCTCCTCACCCAGCCCACGCCTTCAGAGGGGAGGCCCCACGCCAGCGTGGCTGTGTCAGTCTCCTAGGGCTGTCGTAACCAAGTGCCACCCACGGGGGGGCTTCAAGCAACAGATACCTAGTCTCTCGGTTCTGCAGGCCAGAAGTCTGAGATCCAGCTGTCGGCAGGGCCGTGCTCCCTCTGAAGACTCCAGGGGAGGATCCTTCCCGCCTCTTCCAGCCCCTGGTGGCCTCAGGTGTTCCTTGGCTTGTGGCCGCATCACTCCGGTCTCTGCCTGTCTTCACACGGCCTTCTTCCCTGCGCCTCACTGTGTCCTCTCCTCTTCTTATAGGGACATCCGTCACTGGATTTAGGGTCCACTCCAAATCCAGGATGATCTCATCTTGAGATCCTTAACTAACTATATCTGCAAAGGCTGTTTCCACATAAGCCCACAGTCCGAGGTTCAGGGTGGACAGGAATTTGGGGAGATCGTTATTCAATCCACTATAGTTGCCCAAGACAGACGGAACGAGGGACTTCCCCACCCCCAAATACAAAGATCCCACAAACGAGCCTGGTGTCAGATATAAATGACTTTGCTTTCTCCATGGCTAGGCTTAGGTCTCACTTTCCTCTTCATAAACCCCAGCCCCGGGCACCCTGACAGCGCGATTCCTGCGGCTGCGTGCAAGGAGCCGGGAAAGGACCAGGGGCTGTCTGGGGGGAGGGGGTTGGCACAGCGGGGTCTTCTCCCAGCTCCACTGCTGTTAGGCACATCACCACACCTCTCTGGGCCCCCTTTTCTGAGTCAATAAATGAGAGGGCGGCAGGGGACGGGCCGTTTTAAGAAAGGGAAACGTTTTACAGAACTACATCTATGTACCTAAGGTATACAGTCGAGTGTTCTCAAACGGGCCATCCTCTGCAAGGCACACCCCATCAAGAAACAGCACCTCCGCCCCCAGAGGCCCAGAGGCCCCCCCTGGAATGATCCCCTCCCAGAGGAACCACTCTCGTGACTTCCAACAGCACAGGTTAGTTTCTTTTAAGTGAGGTGAAATTCCTATGACATAAAATTTACCATTTTAAAGTGAACAATTCAGTGGCATTTATCACATTCACAATGCTGTGCAACCACCACTAGTTCCAGAACATTTTTATCCCCCAAAAGGAAACCCCACACTGATTAGCAGTAACTCTCTATCCCCCCTCCCCTCAGTCCCTGGAAACCACCAATCTGATTTCTGTCTCTATAGATTTGCCTATTTGGGACATTTCTTATAAATGAAATCCTACACTCTGGGACTTTGTGCCTGGCTTCCTTCACTTAGCATGTTTTTGAGGCTCATGCACGTTGTAGCACGGATCAGTACTCCATTCCTTTTCATGGCTGAGTAATATTCCATTGTGTGGAGAGACCACATTTTATTTATCTATTCATCCACCAATGGATGTTTGGGTTGTTTCTGCCTTTTGGCCATTGTGAATAGTGCTGACAGATTAATTTTTGCCTGTCTTCATATTTTATGTAAATAGAATCATATAGTATGTGTTCTCTTGGGTTTGGCTTTTGCTGAACATCAACTTTTTGAGGTCTTTCCTCCAGCGCCCTCTGCTGGCAATGAGGGGGGTTCTGGTGGGCAAGACACTCCACCCCCAAGAAGGTCCAGGTGGAAGATCTCACCAGGACCCCCAAAGCTCCCTGGCTGACGTGGGAAGGTGGTGGGGAAGATGGAGGGAACTGTGTGGCGACGTTGCACCAGACTGGGTGTGGACACCCTCACCCTCCAACCCATAGAGGGCCTGGCTTCCCCAGGAGTCTCGGCCTGTCCCCGGATCCCACTGTGAGAGGGTCCCTATATAACGGTCCTAACAGCAGTTCCTGGTCGTTAATTATTCAATTATGGAGCCCAAGCGTTTCTTACCTGGTGCTTCAATTAATTGCTTGTAAACACTCAGGAAAGCGGCCTCGGCCTCCTGACTTCGCTTACTAAGGGCCACCACCTTTGGAAACAACAAGATAAAGAGTCAAGTGTAAACACGGCATCTGAGTCTGCAAGCGAATCTGACAATCTCTATGTGTGCAAACGTGGCAGGGGGTAGGGGGTGAGGAGATTAAGGTTAAAAGTATGGAGTCAGAAAGTCTGGCTTCAAACCCCAGCTCCACTCTGTCCTGGCTGTGTGACCTTGGGCAAGTCACTGGCCCTCTCTGATCCTCAGTTTCCTCATCTGTAAAATGGGGGTAAATAGCAGAACCTACCTCCTAGGGGATTAAATGATGCTGCATATAAGTGCTTAGCACAGGGCCTGGCACCAGTAGGTTATCAACAGCTAACATTATTACTCTTGTTATTAAGAGGCAACACAGGAGGTTCAACATGACACATGTTTTGGGGGAAAATGGGACATCTGGGGAATATTTCTTTTCTTTTTTTCTTAATTGAGGTAATATTGGTTTATAACATTATATAGATTTCAGGTGTACATCATTATATTTTGGCTTCTGCATAGACTGCATCGTGTTTACCACCTAAAGTCTAGTTTCCACCCATCACATACACACGTGCCCCTTTTCCCGCCCACCTCCTGTAACCACCAATCTGTTCTCTGCATCTGTGTGTGCGTGTTTATCTTCCACATATGAGTGAAGTCATACAGTATTTGACTTTCTCTATCTGACGTATTTCACTTTGCATAATACCCTCAAGGTCCATCCATGTTGTTGCAAATGGCATGATTTCATCTTTTTTTATGGTTGAGTAGTATTTCATGGTGTATATATATACCACACCTTCCTTATCCAGTCATCAGTCGATGGGCACTTGGGTTGCTTCTGCATCTTGGCTATTGTGAATAACGCTGCAATGAACACAGGGGTGCATAGATCTTTTGGAATTACTGATTTCATGTTCTTGGATATATACCCAGCAGTGGAATAGCTGGATCATACGATATTTCTTTTTTTTTTTGTGAGGAAGATCAGCCCTGAGCTGACATCCGTGCCAATCCTCCTCTTTTTGCTGAGGAAGACTGGCCCTGGGCTAACATCTGTGCCCATCTTCCTCCACTTTATATGGGACGCCGCCACAGCATGGCCTGACAAGCGGTGCATCGGTGTGCACCTGGGATCCAAATCCGGGCCGTCAGCAGCAGAGCGCGTGCACCTAACCGCTACGCCATGGGGCTGGCCCCTGATATTTCTATTTTTAATTTTTTGAGAAATCTCCATACTGTTTTCCATAGTGGCTGCACCAGTTTACATTTGGGGACTATTTCTTGCCACTGAAAGTTCAAGGGAAATCATTAAAGCTCTTGTAAGATATCAGACGGCTTCGACAAATATCAAGGGTGACAGAGCTATGTGAAGCAGTTCCAGGCATACCAAAGGCGCTCAATAAATGCTTCTTGCCTGATGAATACGTGAATGACTAGACAACCCCGGGGTGAAGAGCTACATTCACGCGCTGTTCTCTTGCTCATGGAGTTTTTCATCTGCCAGTGAGACTCCATTAGATGCGCTCCAGCGAGCCATTTCTGGGGCTTTAACCATCTCGTCCCTCCGCTCCTGGCTCTGAAGTCCCAGCTCCGGCCCCACAGCTGCCTCGACACTGGCTCTCGCTGGCCTGTCCCCTGGGCATAGCCCTGGTCCTCCCTGGCACAGGGCTGGAGTGAGCTCCCAGCCCCCCGGGCCACCATCCCTACCTCCCCCAGGACACTGTGGGCTGGAAGTCCCCCTTGGACGGGAACAGCTTTACTCTCCCTGGCACTGACATATCTGTCCCTCTGGTGCCAACCTCCCGAACAACGAATCTGCGGGGGTGTCTATTGTCACTCACCCTCTTTCAGAGGTGAGCTTTTCTTACGAACCCCAGTGATGCCAAGAGAGGGGGCGTCTGTTATCGAATCCCCCCTGGAAGTGAGCTCTGAGAGGGCGTCGCCTCACGGAAGGCGCTCGACATCATGCATTGAACAAATCCAGGTGGGTCCCACCCACTCTAGGTCCTGCCTGTGACACCAGCCTGGAGAGATGGCAGGGGCGACTCTGAGACAGCCGTTCACAGAGGCGGCCCACCGAGGCAATGCCCTGGAGGCAGGCCGCCTGGGTTCAAGTCCCACGACACCACTAACTAGCAGTGTGTCCTGTGCCTCTACTTTCCATCGGTAAAATGAGGATAATATATGACAACTGCCCTCAAAGGGCTGTGGGAGGATCAAACAATGTAACACAGGGAAAGTCCTCTGCAGACCTCCTGGCACGCCTTGAGCCCCACAGACACGTCACCTCTTGGTGTGACTGATCCTTCCTTCTTGCCTGTGACCGGGACAGGTTCTGCCCAGTGCCGGGTGATGAACCTCAGCTCTGCTCATCTCTGGTGTCTTACAAAGACCACCTCCAACACAGCAGTGCACTCTGGGAAGAAGAATTGGAAAACCATCGCGGTTCCTCGAGGCTTCCAATACGGCGGCCACAAGCCGCGTGTGGCTACTGAGCCCCTGAAACGTGGCTGAACGAATCGGGGTGCGCCGTGAGCGCGCCGAACATCACAGACTTAGTATGAAAAGAAGAACGCATGACAGCTCATCAGGAGTTTTTATACTGATTACATGTTGACGTGATAATATTTTGGATATGCGGGTCAAATGAAATCTATTATTAAAATTCATTTCACCTGTTTCTTCTTTAGACATAGATACCACAAAATGTAAAAGTTCATGCGTGGCTCACATTATGTTTCTATACGACAGCACAGCTTGAAGGTTTTACAAGGTCTATGCTGAATTCATTCTTTAAGAGAGATGGAGAGAAATGTATGGGGGATGTTGAGCAAGTGATCCTGAAGAGGTCAGTCACAAAAGCTCCTTCAGCTCTTGTTGTTATTCGAGAACAGTCTCTGGTCTTTCACCTTCTGGAGTGAATGACAATCTCTCATTCATTCAACAAACATTCCCTGAGCCTCTGCTATGTGCCAAGCACTGTGGGCTGAGAACTCAGCGGTGAGTAACGCAGACTCAAGCCCCACCGTGTGGGCCTCACAGTCCGGTGGGGAGACCGACACTAAAGCAGATTCCCCAGGTAATTCATTAATGACAAGTGCTAAACGCTTCACAGGAGAAGTTCAGGGGGCTTAAGAGTGTGTAAGTCGTGGGGGTGGCTGACCCAGTTTGGCGGGTGGAACATCAGGAATTGTCTCTCCGAGATGAGGAAGGTGGCACGCAGAGAGAATGTTCTAGAATCGAGGCAAAGGGAAAATCACCAAGTGCGGACAGATTTTTATTCTTGCTGAGATGGCCAAGACGTAGTTTCTGCTCTGGGGGCTCACAGCTGAGCGGGAGACACCGCTCCGCCCAAGAGGAGCCATGACCCGGGAGGAGGTGATGTAGAGCTGGGGTCTCCAGAGTAATGTGAGGGGGCAATTAATTCAGAGTTTGGGGGCGTCCATGATGGATGAATACTACCACCACTAAAGACAACAGTCAGAGTTCCCCATGTGCCAGATGCTCCTACTATTCACGAGCATCCCTGTCCACGGACACGCCAATCACAGAAGGTGGCTGGTGTCACGAGGCCCCTCGTACAGACGAGGTTAAGCAACTTGCCCGAGGTCACCCAGTGAGCAAACGGCGGAGCAGGATTCACACCAGGTCTGGGCTTCAAATTCCTGCTCTGGCCCCTGTCCCCTGGATAGAAGAGGAGCCAGTGGGGACAGTCACACAGACCACGTGCTGCCTCACGATGTCATCCATGGCTGTACCAGGGCAGGGGCTGCTGTGCTGTCACCCTGGAGCCCAGGAAGAGCCGAGAAACAACAGCAATTCCTCTCTTGATGTCCAGACGGAGAATCACCAGAGATCAGCCGGCAGCGAGTCTGAATGCTCCACTTCACAGCCGTCCACGGGAGCACATGTGCTGGCTGGGGTCTGGGGGAAGGCACAGGAATGTTCCAGCAACTTCTGAAAAGGAACTCTGGGCAGGGGTGGGGCAAGTGCCGGAAGATTCCTTCAGTGTTTCCCTGGCCCTGCCCACAGCACTCTCTGCTTTCTGTTTATGGCACTCACCAGTTTGTATGGTGTATACTTTATCTGTGTAACTGTCTCCTTACAACATCGGTCTGCCCCACCAGAGCCACGGCGCCACCGTGGTAGCCACTAGCTCACGTGGCCACCGAGCACTTGAAATGTCACTATTCCAAATTCAGTGTAAAATATGGGATTTCTAGGTCTTCAGGATGAAAAAAGGATTGTAAAATAACTCAATAATTTTTTATATTGATTACATGTTGAGATGATAATATTGTGGACATATTGGATGAAATAAAATATATTATTAACACTAAATTCACCTGTTTCATTTTACTTTTTAAAATGTAGCTACTAGAAAATTTGACATTACATATATGGCTTGCATTATATTTCTACCGGACAGCGCTGGTCTCAATCAGAGGTTGGCAAACCATGGCCCTTGGGCCAAATCTAGCTCTTGATCTGTTTGTGTAAATAAAGTTTTATTGGAACACGGCTACAGTCATTCCTCCATGTATTGTCTATGGCTGCTTTCATGGTATAAGGGCCAAGTCACTCAGTTGCGGCCGCAGAGTTGAAAATATTTACTCTCTGGCCCTTTACAGAAAAAGTTTGCTGATCCCTGCTTTCGAGGTTCATCTAATGGCTGGATCATATTTTCAAAAGCAGGGATCGAAAACCATCCTGGAATGGCCCTCAGTTTGAATCAGCTCAACTTTATGCCTTCCGTGGGAAATATGACTCCTGAAGACAGTCGCCATTTGCATGTCCTGCCCAGTTCAGTCTTGTTTTAGAGCGATGACCTGTCTGTTTCTAGAAGGCCAGGTCTAATGGTGTTGGAGCCTGATCCAGTGCTGGGCCGAATGTCATCAAGCCTCTCTTGACCTCAGGGTGCCCATCCATCAAGTGGGAAGACGACGTTCCATCTGCCCGAGAAGCTGTTGCCAGGAATGAGCTGACGTGGCAACGACGCGTCCCGTGGAAGTTGG